TTTTTTAAAAAAAAAAAAATCATACTCGTATACAAAATATAAAAAAAAATAATCCGAAAAAAAAAAAAAAATTTCTTAAAAAATTTTCTAAAAAAAAAATTTTATTTTCCTCATGGATTCGCCTACAAGTTCAACTGGTAGTAGTAGTAGCGGTCGGTTCAGTTTATTTAGAAATGGACCTAAAAATAATGAATATATAAAAACCAATAAAAATATTTATTTATCATACGCTGAAGGTTCAAATACTTTTCAACATGGACAACTTGGTGATAATGATACATTTCTTGTAGGAACAATACATTTAAATTATGGTAAACCGTGTCAAATCAAAAGTGTTTATTTACATTTGAAAGGAATTGAAAAAACTTCATGGCAAAGATCACAAGCTAGGTCAAAAACCATTTATTCAGGTGAAAATACTTTGGTCGATCAAACTAATAAAGTTTGGGAAGCTTTTGATGATTCTGAAGAAGTTACTATGCTTGATATACCTTTTAAAGTTCAATTACCTTATAATCTTCCTGATACTATTTCAACAGAATTTGGATCAGTTCAATATGTATTAAGAGCTACCGTTAACGCGAAAGCATTAATTGGATCATCACAACAATCAGTAAAATTATATTGTCCATTAAAAAGGACCATAACATTAGATATTCAACATTTACCACCATTTAAATTATGTGGTACAACACCTAGTGGTATTGATTATACCTTTTTATTACCACCAAATAAATGTTTTAATGTTGGTAGTTATGTATCAATTCCAATGAAATTAAGATTTTTACATCCTAATGTTGGAGTTGAAAGAGTTGAAGTATGTTTAAGAACTTCAATGGATTATCAATCCACTACACAAGGAGAATCAAAACATGTGGATCAAAATATATTAGGTATAATAGTTTCACGATCAGAATTACTTTTTACTCAACCTGCATCAACATATTATGGGGAATGTACTTATACATTAAATATATTCATACCAAAAAATGCTCAACCAACTCATCAAGGTAGATTTATGTCTATAGGTCATTTTATTAATATAAATTTTTATCTATGGGGTTTTGAATCTGATTATCATGTTGAAGAAAGTGTTAGAATAGGTAATATGATTGAAAAACATCCACCTCAAAATCAAAATCAAAATCAGAGTCCTCATATTCAACAAATTCAACAACCTTTAAATAGCATAAATTTATCAAATATACCAATCGGTACATATCCTAATAGTACTCCTACATATTCTACTAGTAGTTCACATTCTTATAATACTAATAGTAGTACACAATCTTATACAGCACCATCACCGAATACTCCAATAACACCACAAGTTACACCTCCACTCACACATAGACTTTTACCAACTCCACCTCCTTCAAATCAATTCAATATTCAATATACTTATATGAATGATGGAGGTCATTTACCCGTAGATACTAGTTATTACCAATATAATAATAATAATCAACAACAAAAACCACAATTACCTCAAAAAAGTCATGAAAGAAAACCTTTACCGGAACAACCTAAAATTTCTTATAATGATAAACCATATGATGGGTATAATCAACATCCAATATTAAATTATAATAATATAACGATGATGACATATTATAATAGAAGTCCAGAATCACGTAGAGATTCTGGAACCTCAACTCCATTAAAAGAATTTGAAACAATTTCAAATTCATCACAGTTGGATATTTTAAATGGACACGTTCCTTACCCAACTCATTTATCTCCGCCACCGTATCGTCAATCGACGCGACAACAGGATTATAAATAATAATTTTACGTGGAATAACAACAATTTCAATAGAAGCAACCATCAAACAACCAAATTCAGTGATGAAAAAATTGTAAAAAAAAAAAAAAAAAAAAAAAAATATATTTTATTTAAAGGAAATTATTTTTTGAATTAGCAAAATATCATTTTTAGTATATGTATAACAAAAGCATCAAAGGCACAGTAAATTTTTTTTCATTTAATAAATTTTAAAGTTGTAAAATATGTTATATATTAAACAATGAACATGTTGTGTTACGTGCATAATTAGTGATATTTGTCATATTACGTGATTTGAGCGGAAAGCCTTTTTTCTCCAAAAAAATATAAAAAAATATTCAAAGTATGACCAAGTTTTTATTTTTGTAGTACGTTAAAAATAGTATGAAATAGAAATAATATACGTATAATATAATATACAATACGTATGATACTATACGTATAATATAATAATATACTATATGTATTATACGTATGATATAATATATATGATATAATACACCATATATAATATACGTATGATATAACATACTTATTAACTATTACATGTTATACATGTTATTGAGGTTAAAAGGAACCAAACCTTTAAAAGGTCGATAACAAAATAAAATATTGTTTTCCAATAATTTACTTTTTCGGATAAATGAAAAAAGAGTTTTTTGTACGTTTGTTACATTTGATTTTCATATTCTGGACAGACCATTTAAAATTTAAACCAACAAATTTTCAGTAAAAAAAAAAATGTTCAACAAAAACAACAACAAATATTAATGCATCTAGAAGATAATATATCAAACACTGTATATTATTTATATATTTTATTTTTCATTTGAAATTTTTTGAAAGTAAAAAGTGACAAAAAAAAAAAAAAGAAAAAATTTGTTTTTTTTTTTCATTGTTCTTTGAAAGAAATTTCTTTTGTAGAACAAATTAATTATTATTTTTTATTATTTGTAGAACGGATTAAATATTATTATTACCGAATATATAATATATAAAAATTAAAAATTAAAAATTTTAAATTTTTTAAAATTTTAAATTAAAGTTATAATCTTATTTTATTGAAAACTTTAACGGAATAGAATCTCCAAATGTCTATTATCATATTAATCATATAATCTTTTTTTTTTGAATGATATCAAAACCTGCATATGGTAATTATAACTAAATGAATGAACCCGTATTTTTATCAATTACTTCTATGAAAATATAATATTATGAAATGATCATATATTTTTTTGTACTATTTATTATATTATTTGCATTATTGTGTTTGAGTATTATTTGCATTATTGTGTTTGAGGTCTTTGCATAAAGAAACAAAGAATAAAAAAAATTTTTTATTATTCCTTTTAATGCGCCACAAAATAATTGTAAATTCGGAGATTACGACATTTGTGATGTAAATAAATAAAAGTATAATAATATATATTAAAAATAGAACTAAGTAAACTAATGATGGCACAAATATCCGAGTAGTAGTAAAGTAAAGTAGTAACATGTAACAAGTAATTTGAAATATCCGAATAATTTATCAATGATATCGCAAATTATTCGAAATATCCGAATAGACGGAATAGTAAATAAGTAATATTTACAAATGGATACACATCAATTCTTTCATTTCTTTTGAAACAAAAATAATGTAAATAAATATAATTCAAACTTAGACAGATTGAAATTAAAAAAACATTTCATGTCAAATTTAAAAAAAACGCGATTAAATACATACAATAATTTCATTGTTTCATTATTGAACGCGTTTCCTAATTTTCTAATTCAAAAAAATTTCCAAAATTTCTAATATGAAACGTAATAAGCCATATTTGGATATTATTTGAATTTGTATAAGATAACCTGACGGATTTAAATCCGAAAAAAAAAATACAATGTTTATAGTTTACACATACACAGAGATAAGGTAACATAAGGTAAACATCGAGTTGGATTCTTGGCGAATGTTTCTAATGGTACATACGTAGCGTATGTAGTGTATATCAAATATATCATATGATTTTAACTTGTTCTTTATTTTCTAATGTTACCTTTTTTTCATTTTTGTTTATTCTTTTTTCCGTGGCTTTTAAATGATTACTTTTCTAGAAGAATTATATTTTTAATGCAATTAATTTAATTTTTGTTACACCTTGTAACTTTAAATTTTGGCACAGCCACCCCCGAATTTTGATTTGGAATTTCATATGTATAAACAGTATAATGATCGCTAATCACGTGAAAGTCGTAAAAATGCTTCTTTCACGTGAATATTCTTAACAATTTTAAAAAACTTGTTAGTCTAGATTCTCATTTCCGACTTCAACCTATCAATCTTTAGGAAATCTATATCTATTCCTTAAAAATATTGTGTATCATGCATTGTTCATTATACTAACGGATAACGGGTATGACAATTTTGAATGAATACTTTTTTAACATAATTTGATTTTTATTCTAAAAGTGGATGATTTAATTGATCGATCTTTAATAGGAATGATTTTCATCTTACTGCGTCATGAATTTATCACCCAACATTGGTAATATTATTATTTGATTGACGCGTAATTTTAAAAAAGAATACCCTGCCCAAAAGTAAAATAGATTTGTTATCCATATATAAAAATTTAATTTATTATCATATAATTAATATTCTTAAATTCGAAGAATAGATTGAAACTCAGAATATTTACAATCTCTTTTTTTGATTATATGAATACGCGTAAAAAAAAAAAAAAAAAAAAATCTTAACATAAATATAATGAATAACATAAATAAATATAAATAATACAACATTATCATATAACATGATCAAATTTAAAATGTGCATGAGAAGAATTTTTTGTTAAGTAATAAATTTTTTGTTTGGAATACGGAATTCCATCTTTGTTTTTTTTTTTATCAAATCAAGTTATCAAGATGGGTTTAAACCTTATCAAGTTTATAAATTTTATCATAAATTTTCACAATGTTACCAATAAAATTATTAATTCTTTGCATTTCATTATATAAGATTTTATAAAAATTTCATTAATAAGTTGCATAAAAAAAATATAAATAAAAAATAAATAAATCCAATATACTGTAATTGTATATTCGATCCCAAATGTCACTTTTATACATTATAATCACATTCGTCAATTAAATAATTCGACGGTGCTTCCGGGGTTATGGCTGGGAAAATGAGCGGAAAGGTACTAATCTGTATGTTTATTTGTTTACAAAAAAGAGTTACTATATATTAATCAATCGTTGAATTCTTCCGTATATCCTACTAATAATGTTTTATTATTTTTGCTGTTCATTTGTTCATGAGATATAATCACATTTTATTAAACCTACCGTTACCACTTGTTTACTACGTGCCGTGTTCCAAGATAGAAAGAAGGAAGGGAATTGTTAGCTAAATATCAACTAAATTATAATTATAAACAAATAAAAATTGTTTAATTTTGTATTAACAGTTTATTTACAACATCTATTAAAATTATATCACTAATAAATACAATAAAAAATATATTAATTATATTAATACATAATTATTAATATTTTTCGATTTTACGAAACTTTAATAACGATTAAATATATGTAATATACTGTAATATTTATTTCACGTTTAATGAATAACACATATTAACAATTAATTAAAAATTAAATTAATTCGAAAGGATTGAATGAATTTTTTTAAATTTTTTAAAATTCTTGAAAGAAAATAATAAAAATCTTGAAACAATTTTTTATTTTTTTTTAAAAAAAAATTACTAATAATTAATTAAAAATGCAAAATATAATTCTTTGTTAATAAGAATGATATCATAAAGTAATTCTTTTTATTCTTTTTTTGTTAACTGTTTAATGTATAATTGTATTAACTACATTAAATAATTACCAAAAATGTCATACGATAATATAATTTAACGTAAGACAAAAAAAAATCATCCAAATTGATTTTAAGTGGAAAATCAAAACAATAAATAATTAGACAAAAAAAAACAAATAACGAATAACGTTATAATTTATTATGGTCTGATAATTATTATTATTTTTTTTTTTTTGTTATGATTCGTTTCTTTTTTCTGCAACTTTCGTTATATATGTA